TAACTGCTCTCCCCTGCCAGCCTAATTTCGCCCCTAACTGCCTCTGCCTCGGCCCCCACCACCATGGCTTTGTCCAAAAGGAAATCAGATGTCTGGAAGATGGCCAGCTGACCTGGTCTAATTAGCATATTTCCCTTTTATTAGTATAGATATCAAACATTAAAGTATATTGATGATATTTTGGACAATTTTGTATTAATAATAACATGATACTTAAATGTGGAAGATGTTTTCTTTAATAGTTAGAGCCTAATGGCCAGAGGAAACAATATTTCTGAGTGTGAAAGAAATGCTTGTTTGCATGTTTTTAAATGGGTAATAGTGGGTGGCAAATTGTTAGGGTATAGCTGGAGTAATTAGGCCCCAAGATTTGTTTAAAGTAGCAATCCTACTGTTTTTCTTTTCCAAAAACAGTTGGATTGCTAGTTTAAACAATTTCTATAATAGACAGGAAATCCTTTGCAATCATTGCATATGAATTTGAAGTGGTACATTAAAGTTTAGGTAAATTAAGTATGTGGACAGAGGAATGGTTTTCAAATGTCTTTTTTAGGGAGCGTGAGAGTGACAGATTTTGAAGTCGGCCAGCTTCGTGCACACTAGCAGGTCTGTGAAAGCAAGTGGCCTGGACCAGAGCAGCCCCCCTCACCCCCCCCTCTTGGTCTGGTTCTGAAGGGCTGCTCAGCTGTGACCTCAATGAGTCCCTCTCAGGATGGAAAGAAAGCATCAGATCCACAGGGCATAGTGTTCAGCCACCTTCACTCTTCAGATTACTTGATTTGATTAAACACGGCTATTTCTCCACGAGTATTTGCACGCACCAGGTACCAGCACTGTTCTAATAATCATTTTACAAATATTAACCAATTGCAACCTCTTAAAACCCCTGTGAGGCAGATACTGTTATTATCCCCATTTTACTGATGAGAAACCTGAGGCACAGAAAGAATAAGCAACTTGCTAAAGGTCACACAGCCACTAAATGGTGGAAGCAGGGCTGATTATACATTGTTATTTCTTTCTTTTTTTTTTTTTTTTTTTAAAGGGAGCAGGAAAAAACCGATTCTATTTTCTGTACCTAGATGGACAACTCCCCGACTCCTTTCCTCCCCAAATGCCTCCTCGGCCGTGCTCCTTTCTCTATACCCAACACTTGCTTGGATTACAAGTAGGTTGGATTTGCCTAGGAGGATCCAAAGAATCCAGTTCTGAGATGCAACAGAATTGAACTTGAACAGCCTATTTATTGACACTGGCATTCACAGCCATGAATCATGATACAAATGTCTTATTCAGATAGGACAGCTGGGTAATTAGTATTGCAGGTTACTAGTAAAAGGCCTCAAAAAGCATCCAGCACTCCAAGAAATATTTTTCCTGGCCTCCTCCATCCAACCTCATAATTCCAGTTTCAGAGGTCTGGAGGAGGCACACTGCTCTTACGGTTTCCTTTATAAGCAATGAGGAAAATGAATTACCCAGACAGAGCGGTTGAGGGGAGAGACCATTTTCCTGCCGCCCCCTGCCTCTGCTTTCCAGAAGGCTTCCATTGGGTTTGCCATTTGACACAGGCAGAGGGTGAAAAATATCTTAGGAAGCCCATCACCTTGCAAAAGGAAGCTGCTTTAAAAATACAAACCCCTCCTGCCGAAACTGGTTTGGCTCAGTGGATGGAGCATCGGCCTGCGGACTCAAGGGTCCCGGGTTCGATTCCAGTCAAGAGCATGTGCCTTGGTTGCAAGCACATCCCCAGTGGGAGGTGTGCAGGAGGCAGCTTGTTGATGTTTCTCTCTCATTGATGTTTCTAGCTCTCTATCCCTCTCCCTTCCTCTCTGTAAAAAATCAATAATAATAATAATAAAAAAAATACAAACCCCTCCTGAAAAAAACCAAACAATTGCATCCTTCCCCAAACAACATTAAGTATCTTAAAAAAGAGCCTAGCATTTCTAGAAAGTTTAGTATCTATGACTCTATTTTCTAGAAAGCTAAAATTACATTTGGACAACTCTGGGACATTTCAGTGTCCTTAATATCCTCCAGGGCACTTCAGAGCTCGGAGCCAGTCCCCACACTGCAACAGGGAGCAAAGCATTCGAGGCTGTAAGACCTGGTCAGATGGATCTGGAGATCAGCTACTTCCAGCCCGGCCAGCCACTAGTCTTAAGTCTGCTAGAAAAACTGCCCCAAACCTTATTTCCCCCTCCAAAGATTAAACAAAAGAAAAAAAATTATAATCCTGCCAGCTGAGATATTTACTGTTAACATTTTGATGTGTTATCTTCTGTCTTTTTTTCTATGTGTAAATGCATGGCTATGAAACAAAAATATAATCATAAGCCGAAACTGGTTTGGCTCAGTGGATAGAGCATCAGCCTGTGGACTCAAGGGTCTCAGGTTTGATCATAGTCAATGGCAAGTACCTTGGCTGTCGGGGAGGGAGGGGTGTGCAGGAGGCAGCTGGTTGATGTTTCTCTCTTATCAATGTTTCTAGCTCTCTGTCCTTCTCCCTTCCTCTCTATAAAAAAATCAATAAAAAAAAAACATATAAAAATGTGATCATAGGAAACATATAGTTTTTGTAAAGTGCTTTTTCCCCCCTAAGGATAGGTATCGTCCATATGAACAGTTTTAGCCTGCGTCCGAGATACACATGAGTGGCTTGTCCTGATCCAGCCTATAAGCATGTTTAGTTGTGTTTACATAGTGTTAAAAAAATTCAGCCAACTTTCAAAAAACCATCAGGATATTTTACAGAAAAACCCCACTCCCCTTTCTTCGGAAAAATCGGTCGCTCTAGCCACACAGGGCCTGTGTTCCAGGAAGCCAGGGACTGGTCAGAACGGAGTGCCTTCCGTTGCATTCCTGGCCGGTGAAGATCCCAGGCCTGCATCACCATCCGTAATGGTCATGCAGCAATTTCTGCCAGTTAGTGAAGACATCTGCCGTCCTCTGCTAGGATGAGCAATTTGGAGACAGGGCCTGTAGTACTTTATCTTTTAACCCTTAGGCGCTCAGCACCTTCCACCTCCTAAACCCTTAACTGTTATGTTACATAAGTACTTGAATGAATGGGCTCATGTGTGACCTTTCACACAGTCATGTTGCTCTAGGGATGCAGGAAGGATTCTGGACCCCCCCGGGGCCTCGGGCTTCTTCTGTCCCTTGCAGTGGCTCCTACAGGGGGGCAGTCAAAGTGGGGCTCCATCCACACTGGCAACTGGGGAACCAGCCATCTCTCTTCCTGGGGGGAGCCCTAAAAGCTTTGGAAGGGCAGTGCATATGAACCACCTTACTTCGCGCTGAAATGCGGCCAGCTCTCAAGTAGGAGAAGGCAGCTCTCAGATAACACTGTTAAGTTTTTCTCTAATGTTGGGAAAGAGTAAAGGAAAAGAAGTCTGTCATTATCCAGCGGCAGTTGTGCTTAATTTTCGCTTCTCTTCATTGTCTCCTAAAGCACTGTGAGTGTGTTCTGGGCGCCATGGGGGACGTGGGTGCGCCCTGGGTGGGTGCTGGCATTCAGAGGAGAAGCTGGGCTTTGGGGACGGCTGGAAGGGCCCTCGCTCTCCGCTGCTGGCTGCACGCGAGGTCCCGCCATGAGATGGGACGTGGGCCCTGTCATCCTACATCAGAGCCTTGGCTTCCAAAACATGAGCCGCCAAAATGTTACATAACTTATTTGTTTTTAAGCCAGCCCCGTCCAAGTTGAGGACACTTAAGACTCCCTTTTAGAGGGAATTTGGAACCCAACGTTATCATTAACTAAATCAGCAAGCAATGGTTCTGTAAAAATACCGAGCGGCGTAGTTCTGAGGACTTTTATCGTCATGTTCCCAGCGGAATGATATTGTGTGGTGGTTTCTCTGAAAATTGTTTCTGGGGGTTTATTCCTATTCTCGCTCTCTCCCTTCCTTTCCCTCTCTTTGTAAACCATGGCCTAAGTCTAAGGGACCTGGACTTTTTGCTGAGTAGTAACGCCCTCCATTTGACCCTGTCCTACATGCCACCCCAGTGATTCTCCAGCTCGTTTACCTGGTGGGGCCCCTGGAAGATACACTGCTCTCTGTAGAGCAGGTGACACAGGAAGCGTGATAGGACACATATCTTGAGTCACGTCAGATGCTATTTTATATTAGACTAGAGGTCTGGTGCATGAAATTTGTACAAGGGGGGGGGGGCGCGCATCCCCTCAGCCCAGCCTGCATCTTCTCCAGGATCAGGCCTAAACCAGCAGTTGGACATCCCTCTCACAATTCAGGACCACTGGCTCCTAACTGCTCACCTGCCTGCCTGCCTGATCACCCCTAACTGCCCCCCCACCAGCCTGGTCATTCCTCACTAACCCCCCTGCTGACCTGGTCACCCCACGTAGCCTGTTCAGTCATCCGTTTGGTTGTGGTGGTTGCTTAGATCAGCGTTTTTCAACCGCTGTTCCGCGGCTTGCCTGGTGTGCCGTAGGTGCAGACAAGACAAGAATTTTATAATTTTTCACTATTTTGTTTACTTAATATTTCATAATAAAGTAATTATAAAATACTTTCTTTGTGTTTATTTGATTCCTATTCAAGAGAATTACTTTATATATAGTCAATATAGGCACAGAGTTAAATTTTTTAACATTTTCTAATGGTGGTGTGCCTCGTGATTTTTTTCATGAAACAAGTGTGCCTTTGCCCAAAAAAGGTTGAAAAACACTGGCTTAGATTATATATATATAATATAATATATATATATATTTTCTAGACACAAGGGAACAGGGTCCAAGGGCCTGATACAAATGCATATGAAAAGGATACTGCTATGCCACCCTATCAGGGAAAACCTTGGAAGCTCTAAAGGTTAAGGAAGAAGAGAATAATTAAATAAATGGTGGCTATTTTCAATGCATCCCTTACGGATTCATCCAAGTCAAGGAGATTCTGTGGAGAGTTTTTAATGATGCGAGGCAAGTGTTTAAGATTTGTAAAGATAAGAAAAAAAGTAAAATACGAAGTCACATATGAAGAATGAGGGCAATTATCTTTATGGGCAGAGATCCTTAGGAAACACATCACAATTTTAGGAGAGAGTGTATCTCTGTGGGATGGGATTATGGGTAATTTTTATTCTTTCTTTACACTTTGCAGCATTTTCAAGCTTCTCCACTATGAGCATTTATTGCTTTGATCATCAGAAAATAGAGTGATGGTAAGGCAGCCAACTTTGCCAGTGCTGGCAGCGTCAGGCCCACACTTCCTTTCGATATCATTCTCCTCAGCCCCCTCCTCCTCTCTGTCTCCTTGGCTTCTGCCAGGGGGATCTGGAGGAAACAGCTGGGATGTGCTCCCCAATGCCCAGAGCCATGGCAATTTCCCTGGGGACATGGAAGTTTGTGGGCATGTAAGAGCTGCATGTACTCCATCCAGGTTCCTGGGGGAAGATTCCTAGAGCTCCAGCCACTGAAGAAGGAAGCCCCACTGAAGGGCAGCTTTGCATCTACTGATTGATCCCATTTTCGGGCAAGAAATGGTGGCAGCAGGACACCCCTTCCCTTATCCTATCCCCGCCTCCTCTGCTCCCCCAAGATAAGGTTGACTGAAGTGCAGATAGATATTTTCAAGTTCTGGAGAGGCAGCCTGGTTCAAGCAAGGTGACGAGGCTGCTCACGCGGAGCTTTGAAGGTTGTCCAGCCCGAGGAGACCGGCGCGTTCCTCGGGCCAGCTAACTCCTCCAGGCCTGTGGGTTTCCTCCGCGTGCTAAGTGGACGTAACGTGACTCAGAGCTTCTCTTGGAGCTGTGAGCCGTGACTTCATCCTCCACCGCCCATACACGCGGTTGTGAAGGGCCCTCTCCAGGCGCTGAAGGATGGTGCCGAATGGGGCGCTGGAGCTGGGAGGGAGGAACAAGTCTTTTCTAAAAGAATGTTTACAGGAAAGGGGCAGTCTTTTAGCTACCTCACTGGGCAGTATTCAGTGACAATCACCCACTACTTATGGAGTGCTTGTCTGCATTTTGAACAAGGCAATCCAAGAATCCTACCTCCATCCAAACTCCTTAGGGAATGCCCTGCCTCCCCCAGGAGCATTCCTTTTGTCCTTCTCCTTTAAGGCTTAGTTCCCTGCGTGGTGTCATGGAACCAGTGCTGATCTTGAAATCAGTGGCTCTGGGTTGAAAAATCTTACCTCGACTCTGTCCCTCACAAGCATTGTGGCTTCAGGCATGTTGCTTAATCTGTCTAAGCCTCGTGGCCCCACCTTCAAAACAGGAGTCCTAATGCCAGCCTCATGGCGTTGTTCTTGAGTTGGGTTGTTGGGTTCAGCAAATAAAAATATAGATGTCCACCGCCCAGTTAAATTGGAATGTCAGACAAGCAAAAATAAGTTTTTTAGTATAAGGATGTCTTAACGATTGCAACGGGACATACACTAAGATTTTTTTTATCCTTGTTTAGCTGACATTCCAATGGAACTGGGTAGCCCGCATTGTACCTGCCAATCAATCCCATCCTTGAGGCTGAAATATAGGGATTTAACTGAAAGTCCCTGCCCCTGGCTCAGAGCGTGCTCTTTCCACTGTACTTCCTCTCCCAGGGTGGGTCCCACAAGGTGGCTAGTTGCTTCCCTCTTCCATGGCAGAGGAGTGAAGACTGTGACTAGACTGGTTGGGAGGTGGGTAGTGGGTAAGAAGGAGGCTGCGCAGGGAGGACAGCCCCCAGGAGAGTAGAGAGCCCAAACACATAGGCTGGTAGGAGTTAAATGTCAGCTTAGGGCACTTCAAGGACCCTAGCAAATAGCGTCGCTGGTTCTGAGTGCCTTGAACACACTGCTCTAGGGAGCTTGTCAGTGGGGGTGACACCGCAGGCCCAGGAGGAGCCCAGATGGGGCGCCGACCGCAGCCAATTCCCATGTGGGCATCACCATTCCACGGACTTCAAAGGCCCACTGCTGTGTCAGACAGAGGGGCTTTCCTGGAGGTCATTTTTTACAAAGAAGGGGTGAAGGTGACTGGTACCCCAGAGACCGTACTGCAACTTGGGGGAAACCCAGGGTTTGTGCTGACACAGGCCTGTCCTGCTCCTCCTGTTGTCTGCTCCCCATGACTCCCCTCTAACGGAGTCCCCCAGCATGTGCGTGCATGGGGTGGAGGCCTGGTCTCCGGCCTTTGTGTGCATCGCAAACTGCTGGGTGCCCCCAGGATCTAAGCTCAGGGTGTAATTTTCCTTCTCTGATCGTCTGAATTCCAGGCGAGCAGCTCAGCTGTCGTTGGCTCCAGGGAGTTTTTTCCGCAGGATTGAAACCGGGGCTAAGGCAGCGCGGGCATGCAGAAGGCATTCTTTTCTGCTACTCAGCTGCACGCTCCCTGTAGTTAGGGCTTTGGAAAGACTATGCCTTCATCCGGAGGCATAGAGGAAAGTTCTGAATTTCATGACAGTGAGAAAACACGGGAAGGGAAACCATCACTTGCTGTGTTTCCTACTTTGTCATGTTTCCCCCCATTTCCCCCTCTCCCCTGCTTTAAAATTAATATCTATCATCATCTAGATTTTTTTTAAAAAATATATTTTATTGATTTTTTACAGAGAGGAAGGGAGAGAGATAGAGAACCAGAAACATCTATGAGAGAGAAACATCGACCAGCCGCCTCCTGCACATCCCCCATTGGGGATGTGCCCGAAACCAATGTACATGCCCTTGACCGGAATCGAACCCGGGACCTTTCAGTCCGCAGACCGACGCTCTACCACTGAGCCAAACCGGTTTCGGCTAGATTTAAAATTAAGAAAAATAAGACTATTTCAAGCCAGGCCCAGTGCAAAAAAAAAAAAAAAAGAAAGAAAGAAAGAAAAAAAAGTGACACCTCTGCTGTGCTAGTCCCCACTTAAGTCTCACAGTTAGCTTGTTACTTTTATTTTAAGAAGATGTAAACATCTGATTATTATTTACTAAGAAATTTTCTCAAAGTAAACTCACTTTAGAAATGTTTTAATTCATCCCAAGGAATAATATCTTTACAATGTAGGGTTTGGCGTGCTATCTATATTTTCTTCCCTGACACATGGAAATAAATATACGCTGTTAGAATTTTAAAATGCTCATCTGGGTGCCGCTTACAACTGTCTTTCAGAGACGCAGCTCTACCCCATGGTGTTCCACCTCAGGGATTCCCGGCTACAGCCAGGTTCGAGTGAGGCGTTTTCTCCATTTGGGGCAGCGGTCTTTGCACGTATTAGCTCATGAGTCCTCCCAGGAACTTCTATATTTCACTGGCCCCATTTTAGAGATAAAGAAACCGAGACCGAGAGAGGTCAAAAAAAGGTCATCTTGCTAGGAAATGACGGTCTGATTCAGATCAGAGCAGTGCTGAGTTCAGAGCCCATGCAATCACCTCTCTCTTTCACCTCTCAGAGAAAAGCATAGACTTCGACACCACCCCGTGCCAGGAAAAAAGCAGGCGGCAGTGCTGTGGAAGAATGAGTTCATTCAGTGCTAAGTGCTAAGTGCTGTCTTCCTGGAGCTGCTAACTCAGCAAGAGCAGTTCCCAACTTGCACTTGCATGGGGTTGGATTCCAAAAGTTGTTTGGAAGCAGTTTCCAGTCCCCTTCCCCTGTGCTCCAAGGCGCTTCGCACACACCTCTCCTCTTACTCTCAGCACACTGCCTCTCACACATCTCTCCCCCACAGGGCTCCGGCTGCTCAAGGGCAGGGACTTGCCAAGCATTTACTTTGGTAGCCCCAGCACCCTAGCACAGGGCCCAGTCCATGGAGGCACAAAGTATGCCTTCATGGTATTAAATTACAAGTCATTTGTTTGGAACTCAGCACACATTTCCCCAAAGAAATGCATTACAAATGGAAGTGGAAGAGGGATGTTGCCAACCAGCCCAGAGAAATTTAGTTAAGCTATCTCATAGTCTACCAATAAGTTATCTGGAGCTGTGGGTGTAGCGTCAGACCTAGATAAACTTTCGCATGGGTCAGAGTTCATCTTTGACTCCCTCCAAACTGCCTTTTGCCCTACATCTCCCACCCTTGGGTATCATTGTCTATTGACAATGGTATCATTCCTATTGAGTAGGAAGCTTACAGGAGCAGCGGCTAGGCCTTCCCTGCTCTTATTCCCAAATAACCTATAGGCCCTCCTCACTAGTCAAAATTCTCATTTGCCGAATGCAGCGGAACACAGGTGATCCTCAGTAGGAAAAGAATCTGATTGAATTAATTCTTGCTAATGTGTGAATGGTTGCCCTAATATTCCTCCACTTTCATCCCATTTCCACCCCAATGCCAAGCCTATGACTGTTGATAGCACAATAGTCAAGATGCTAGGATTTTTGGAGACAGATCTCAGTTTGAACCCTGGTTCTAACTCTAAGTTATGTGGCTTAGGTGGAGTACCGTCTGTGGCTTGAGTTCTCTCCTCTGTGACATAGGAATAATTGTAGTTACTAAAGAGAGCTAATAGTATCATATCACATACTGGGCCCAGTGCTAAGGACTTTTTATTCATTGATTCTCGTTATCCACAACAACCTCCCGAGGCAGGTACTCATATTATTAATTATTGTTAAATGATTTCTAATAGTAAATAATTTTTAATTTATTCCCTGCCTTTCTTAAAAAAAAAAAAAAAAAAAAAAAAAAAAAGGCTTTGAGGCAAAAGTGCTACATTGATAACATTCCTGGCAGGGAGGATGGGAGGGGACAGTCACTGGCCCGGGGAGATATTTAGGACAAAGATAGCAGAGGCTGCTCCAGACCACCTGAGGCTGACATGTCTCCGCAGAGTCCATTCCCTTATGCTGCTCCTGTCTCCACAGCTTCTCCCTTCCCTCTGCCTCTGAATGTGCCGAATCTGCCAGGGGTCCAAGTTTTTTTCTACCCCCTTTCTTTCTCTGTTAATTTTTTTTCACCCATGGCAGCTGCAAGGTGGTGGGGGCCGGGCGGACGCAGCAGCTGCTTGTATGTATGGCCCTCTGTAGCCTTCCTTTGTGAGTCAGGGGCTGTCTGTGTATATCACAGGCTACCACCTGGCAAGGCGTTTAGTTCCATCTATGTTGTTTAAATGTTTCCGAGATGATATCACAGATGCATGAGGATGGGAGGGCCGTCAAGAAGTCGGCCTCCAGCCCCTCCCGCCCTCTGGCCTTCTGCTGGAACCTTCTCGGGGGACATTATCCCCTAGCTTAGCAGACAGCTTTGGACCCGCTCTCCCGTCCCTCCCACTTGCCAGATGCAGGGATTTGGAGTCCAGTGGGGTGTGCATTTCAGCAGAGGGAATGGTGCAGTCATGGAAAACACTGAGCAGAAGCGAGGTCTGGGCAGGTGGCAGGCTGGCCACACAGGGCCCTCCCCCTGTGTCTTTGTGATTAATTCCACTTCTCTGGGCCTCAGTGTCTTTGTGATTAATTCCACTTCTCTGGGCCTCAGTTTCCCCTTGTGTCAAACAAGGAGGTGGGCTAAACTACCTCTGGTTCCCCTGAGCATTAAGGCTCTGATTCTGTGATAAACTACTCGGGACAGATGGCCATTTGTCCCTGCTGATGTCACCTCAAAGGACAGTTCATCATGACCTGCGTGAGCCTCTTCAAATGTTTCCTCATCCTTAAAATTGAGAAAATGCCCCTTTTGTAACTAAAAATGTCTCCTAATTTGAGGGTTTTTGTTGTTGTTTTGTTGTTGTCATTGTTATTAGGACTCTTGAAAAATATGAATAGAACTTTACCCTGTATTCCTATGACAGTGGCACTTTTATACACATACAGAGACTGTTCGTTTTAACCTAGATGATTAGTGTTCAAAGACTTAACAGTGATATTCTATTTGACATTTATATTTCAGAGCTATTTAATGCACCACCATTTCATTTGAGCTTCAAACTAAAAATTAGAAGAATTATATTCAGTTTTACATGTGAAGAGATTCAAGATGAATAAACCTAAATACTTTCAACAAATGTCTTATCCTAGGGTTACAAGGGGAAGAGTCAGGACCCAAACTCAGGTCTTTTGACTCAAAGCCTAGAGCTCAGGCCATGAGAATACATATTAACTTAATGCCCCCCACCTCACCCCCAACACACTAGCGCCCCCCCCCCCCCCCCCCCCCGCTTGAGTTTCTATTGTCCTGGGCACCTTAGCGGGCACTTTGCATACAACGTCTTGAATATTTGAAACATCGGTGTAAGGAAAATATTATCATTCTCAGTTTTGAGATGGAATAAATGAAAGTTCAGAGGAATTAAGTATTAAGTAGTTGTCTAAAGGCTAATGAATGCTAAAGGCAAAATCAAAGCCAGGCCTGTTCTTTTGACAGTACTACCTTTCACTTAAACATGCCTCGCCAGAAATGAGATCCAATGTAGTTTGAGCTTCAGGATTTTTTAGGCCACATGGATTACTCTTCCATGAAAGTACAGTGAATAGAAATTACTGGTTGGGGAAATTCCATTCAGCCAACTCACACCTCATTCCGTGGTCCTTCAGTTGCCCTGTGTGCTTGATTCTACTCCTCGGACTTTCTTTCCTAAAATTTTACTTTCCAGTCATCATAAGTATTTTTAGTTGCTTTTTTCCCCTAGGTCCTCTTAACATATCTATACTTTGATTTTAAAAGATTGGTATTTCAAGTGAGCACGGTATTCTTAGTTAGAATTCAAATGATGGCCAGTAGAAAAATGGCATTCTAGTTAACTTCCTCTTTCCCAAATTTCCCAGATTATATGCCCCAGGATCATTTTATAGTTATTCATAACCCATTTTCATGACCATTTTACCTAGTTAACCCTTGTCCATTTAGTATTTGTATAATTCATTGCCTATCCTTTAATATATATATTCAGAGAGGAAAAAAGACGGAGAGAGAGATAGAAACATCAATGCGAGAATGATTGATTGGCTGCCTCCTGCATGCCCTCCCACTGGGGATCAAGCCTGCAACCTGGGCATGTGCCCTGACCGGTAATTGAACTGTGATCCCCTGGTTTATAGGTCGACGCTCAACCACTGAGCCATGCGAGTAGGGCCATTGCCTATTCTCAAGCACACCAACTTTATCTGTGAAATGGGGACCAATGATTCCTGTTCTGTCCACACTCACAGTTCTGGTGATGTTCAATCAAATGATGTATAAAGCACTTGGAAAAGAGGAAGAGCCATGAACACAGAATATTACAGCATATTTTGCTTTTGCAAAACCTAAACTATAAAAATGAAGCCAAATAATCAGGGTTGTTCAGTAGGCTAATATTTGGATGTTCTGGGTCTATTTATTGTTCATCATATAAAATATGTAAGAATTGTATAAAATAATTTCATTTGTCATTACATTATTTTATGACAAATAATTGATGTGCTTTATTTAGAGTAACAGCCTTCTCACATCACAGCTAAGGTTGGCTAACTACGGTATTGGTGCTTTTCCTCCCATGTTTTTCCTCCTGCGGACTTCTTGGCTGCTCTCCTACAAAATCCCACCACTCTGGTGTTGCCATGGACCCTGCATCAGCCTTTTCTTATAGACATCTTCACATTTTCCAGTATGAGAGTGAATTTCTTTTTCTTTTTAAAAAGTATTTAAATTGATTTCTAGAGAGATTCCTATTTGAAGGGAGAGAGAGAAACATCAATGTGAGAGGGAAACATCGATGGGCTGCCTGCTGAACATTGCCACCGAGGATGGAGCCACAGCCTGGGGATGTGCCCTGACCAGGAATCGAATTGACAACCCCTCGGTGCACAGAAACGACACCCAACCTACTGAGCTGCACCAGCCAGGACAAGATCACGTTTTTCAAATGTTAATTCTTTTTGAGCAGTTCCAAGAGGATAATGAACTTCTGCATCCACTGATTGAGAAAATGCTCAATGACAAACATTATGAAGAGTAAAACTTTTAAGTATCCTCACATTTAATCAATCATGGCTGCATCCAAATGCTTTGGGAAAATACAGACACGACTGAGACCTTATCCCACCCGGCATGTTTATAAACATTCAGTAAATATTTGTCAAATGAAAGCATAAATAAGAAGCGAATGAAAAGTTGCAGGCAATACTTGTGGTATTTATGGATTTGTGACCCTTTGCCATAGCTCCATTCCTCAATCCCTGTCCTGGGCCTAGAGCTCAGAGCTTGGAAACCACTTGTATGGTTTCTCAAATACCCAGTATACAGTAGGCACTCAATAATTGTGTGCTGAATATGTGTATGAATGAATGAATGCTACTCTTGTCTCCCAATCAGGTTATAATTTTGAGGATAGCAAGTATGATGTAGACCCTTCTGCATCACCTCAGAACCCAGCACCGTGCTGAGAAAAAGCAGGCTTCTTTCAGATAAACAACTAATTTAATTAGCATCACCTATGAGCAGATGTAGTTCCAGAGGAGCTCATTAAAAAGAAAACACCTGAAATTTAAAATACCTACAGGGCATACAGATGCCTTTTATTCTAGAAACTTCCTGGTGTTTCTCTGTAAGTGAAAGATAGTATGGAGTTAGGAAAACACAGGGAAAGGTGTGAGTTCCTGTGGGAAGGCAGTACTGTTGGCCCTCAGGAAGGGAGAGCATCTTAGAGGGATGGGAGCCTCCTCCTTGGACGGCTGCCTGTCTTCTGCTGGGCAACCTGTGGCCTCAGCAGAGAAGGCACTTCTGACCAGAAAACCTCAAGCAGAGACTGGAGTGGCTGGGGAGATGGTTAGCTCACTACCCTGTGAAGGGGCAGTGGCCAAAAGCAATTTACTTCTTGAGAAATCATGACCTAAAGCAGAGTCCGTATTTTTATGAGCAACGTGGTACAGAGGATTTGTCGGAGGTCTCACTCACCTCAGCAGCGCGGGAGAGAGCAGGCCGATCATCTTGAGGACACGCTCCTTTCAAGGGCTCTTGGAGGCTCGAGTGTCAGGCAACGCCGTGGGGAGAGTCTCCTGCACGAGCCTGGTGGCCACTTCACCTTGTAGCAGAGGAAGTGAAAGTGCCAACATGAAGAGGACTTGAAAGCGAACGTTCCCTCTAAGTGAGGTGGGGGGGAGGAAGGGGGGTAGATATGCAGGCCCAGCCTTTTAAAAAAATTTTGTTGTTGTTGGAGGGGGAGGGTTCAGGAGTATTTTAATTGTATGGGACATCTGTAAAGACTAATGTCTTGTTTTTTTTTTTTGTTTTTTTTTTTTCTTTCTCAGCTTATTCTGAAATCGTAGGCCTGATTTTCAAATACGAGCGGCCTGGAAAACAAATTACCAAAGGGAAAAAAGGAGAGGAAGGATACCGCAGCTGCTTTTGGTTAATTTGATTTTCTTTCATGTCTCATGGTCACCTTGATAGTCCTGATCCCACTTATTTCTGTTGAATTGAGATTGCTGGGTGCCTGGGACCCCCTCAGTCCTAGGCAGGACCTTAACCACAGTGTGGTCCAGATTCCCAGTTCGGTAGCTGGGAAAGCTGAGGGGCAGTGACGTCATGCACCCAGTCACAGGCCTTTGTAACCCATGATGTCACACTCACCAGGGCCCCCCAATGAATCCTTGAACAGAAGTTCAACCCAGGTACAACATAGCTGTGGCCTTTTCCGTCTCCCTGTCTGTCCCTCTTCAAGGAGACATCTGTCAGCGGAATGGGATATTTTACCTAGAGTGAGAGGCCTGGCTGGGATCTGCTGGTTTGCAGTGGGTGGATTTGGGCTGGAATGCAGCCAGGCCAGGCATTATGGGATGGATACTACACAGTACAGTGGGCATGCACTGGGGCCTGACTGCCCGAGTTGCTCTGGTCTTGCCACTTAACTGTGTAACGATGGCAAGTTTCTTAACTTTCTGTGGTTCCTCTGTAAAATGGGAATGGATAATAGTGCTTCCCTATGACTGTAGTAAAGATTAATGAGATTAACACATATGAAGTGCCGGGAACTATGCCGGATAGATGACAGACACTTGGTAAAGGCTGTTATTGTTATTGCTGTATTATTAACGTATGTTATGATTATGTCTTCACCTGTAGAACAGTAACCCTGTCACAGGATTGTAAACCTTAAGTGACATGGAATGTGTGACTGACTGGAGTAAAGGGGTGAATGGATGAGCAGTGTTATCCTGGTCTTGGTCTTTCTGACCCTTTCTAGCTCCCCTTAAGTAATATCATGCAAATCAGGGACTAACTGGCCTTGCCAGAAGGTGATGAACTTGTCCTGTGTGTCCCTGGATTTGTCAGTTTTTTTGTTTGTTTGTTTGTTTTTCGTGGAAAGTTCCATATCCTGGGAAACACCTGATGCAGGCAACTGGGACAGTAGTGACCTTGGCCCTTTGTGACCCTTGCTATGTTACTAGGTGCATGGATAATTAACCAGTTGGACCTTGAGGTGCCCTGTTCAGTATCCCCCACCCCACCTTAGCATTGGGGCATGGATTGAGGGGTGTGTATCATGGACACTGTTGATTATTCATTCTAATTCACCTTCCCTCATCATCTTCTTCTTTCCTACTGGCAGATCCTGATTTTATTCTTTTGTTTGCTCACTGAGTGGCCATATGCCCTGAAAAGGTAGCCATAGCCCCTGTTTACCAAGGTGGGGGTGGCTCTTGATTCATCTAAGTGAAGTATGCAACTCTAGTCTGCTTACCAGTGACTAAATTTGTCGGGGAAAGTTGAACGCACTAGTATTACATTACTAGTTGTTAAAACACTGACATGCTCTGTAATGGCTAGTCAAGATATGTTGCCCAAGTGCTCTGTCTCCTGCCCCAGGATTCCTGTGCTAACAACCCCCCTCTCCCCATTGAGCTACTAAAGGGTTGATGTCTAGCAGCACTGGGGGCTTTCTGGGCCCTGGCTCCAGGCCACCTGCTTTGTTGGCTCAGTGCCCTGGCCCTTGTGTCTGTTATTTATTTTGTGGAATATCTTGCCTGTGTGTGACCTAATTCTGGGGACAGGTGGCAGCAATAAAAGCTCTATCCAGTTTCCTGAGGACAGTGGTCCCAGTGGCAGCTACCAGGGTCCAGGGTCATGGTGCTGGTATCCAATGATACAATGGTTTTGGCCCGACAGGTTCTGTGATGTGATTCTGGGTAGAGCCTCTGAGCCTCAGTGCCCTTTTAATAAATTTCTTTTCTGCTCAAAATTGCCATGCCACTTAACTTTTGCATGTACCATGCCACCTAAAACTTAATGTAAAACAATAATACCACTTATTAAGTATGTCTTCTGAAAGGTCATAAGGAAAAGCATTAGATCCCTTTTGGACTTTGGTCTACTCAGAGACAGAAGTGGCTTTTAGTTCATCTTTCAAAGGTCTGAGTGGCCTTAGGCAACTAGTAAAGAATCAGATTGGCTTGTGGGTTTCCCAGGCAGAGGAAAGGAATACATTCAAGTTAATGAAAGTTAATTGAAAGTCTTACCGGATTTGTAGAACTCTTTTTAGTTGCCAGATCTGCAAACCAAGGAAAAGAGCAGGCAGACAACTGGGAAACACCTGATGCAGGTGACTTTTACATTGGAGACTACCTGAGGGTACGGGTGGTGCTTTCCCTTCACTTTTTCTTCCACTATAGAGGCCAGCATGGTGCTCTATGCCTAAGGAGCATTTGAACAACTACCCTTTCCTCATATAGAAGGTTAAATTCTTTGAAGGGGACTTTTACTTATTATGCATTTGGGAGTAGAAACAACAGAAAGCAACTCTAGCTATCTTAAGGAGAAATGGAATTGACTTGAAAGATAGCAAGGGAGTTCATCAGATCTGAGGAAATGTAGAACCAGGCCTTGAGAAGAACAGAATCTGGGCAACCCTGCAATGACAGGTATTGGCCCAGCTATGTAGAGCACTCGCATGATGTCAGAGGGAATATGATTGTTCAAACCTCAGACAGGATTCTTCTTGACCAAGCAACTGTGGCCAAAGGGGGCAGTGTTCCTGGGAGCCCATATCTGTGATTCAGGGATAATGCCTAGAGCACATGTGTCAAACACAAGGCCTGCAGGCCAAATCCATCCCGCCAGGCCTTGCAATGTGGCCCGCACCGCAATGTCATCACTGCACTCCGCTGCGTTTCCATCACAATGACAGTTTATGACTGTTCAGTAAACCATTCGGCCCGCGATTTAGGCTGGATTTTAGATTTTGGCCCCTTCTCTGATTGAGTTCGACACCCCTAGCCTAGAGAATGGGAAGCCATCCACAGAACTGCCTGGGAAAGACTTTGTGCATCAGTTATCTTTTGTGCAAAATAAACTATCCCAAAACTGGTTTAAAACAACAACCATTTTACTTGTTCATAATTCTGTGAGTAGCAATTTGGGCTGGGCTCAGCTGGATGGTTCATCTGTTGGTCTCACTTGGGGTCATTCTTATGGCTACAACTATCTGGTAGCACAATTGAAGTCACCCAATCTCCATTTCTAAACCACATTCTTAGGGCAAAGATGTGTGTTCGGTGCAAATCAGATCAAGAAGCACATTTATCCTGGACCCAGTGGCTCCTTTTGATTCATCATGGGAGGAATGGGGATATTAGGAGCAAAGGGCAAGAGTAGGCAGGAAAGCAGAAGGCTCTATACAATGTGTGTTGGGTAAATTTCTAAGGGAATTAACATTTATCAAGTATTTATTATATGCTAAATCCTGCCCAAAGCATTTTGTCAGAAAGATCCTGTTTTCTCCCCCAAGTTGTCTAGAGAGGTAGGCAACAATATCTTATTGATCCCATTTTACAGATGCAAAAGGAAAGCAACTTGCCCAATGTCTCAGATTCAGTTAAGTGGCAAAGTCAGAACTTGAATTCAGATCTGTTTGCTTTCAAAGTCTTTGTTTTTTCTCTTCCCCGTGCTGCTGTTGACTCCATCCTTGGAGTGTAAGGTAGCGAATATATCTCTGCCTACTAATAAAAGAGAGGGCATCAACTGTGGTCAGTGGCTGAGCAGTTCTGAGCTGAGAAAGGAGTTAAGGAGGAATGGAGGAGTCTTGAGGAAGCTCCAAATACATCCACCTCCTTTGTCCACACAGGATGCTCACTAGATAATTGTTCATAAATTGGGTCAGTTCACATTATGCTTTTTTTTTTTAAAAAAAAATACATTTTATTGATTTTTTACAGAAAGGAAAGGAAAGGGATAGAGAGTTAGAAACATTGATGAGAGAGAAACATTGATCAGCTGCCTCCTGCACACTCCCCACTGTGGATGTGCCTGCAACCAAGGTACATGCCCTTGACCGGAATCGAACCCAGGACTCTTGAGTTCCTAGGCTGATGCTTCATCCACTGAGTCAAACCGATTAGGGCCACATTATGCTTTTAACTATATAAGTGCATGATGCCATATGATAGTCTGACAGTGGTTGGCAGATTCATCCTTCTCTTTAACTTCTCAAGCTCTGTGATCTCAGGAAGTAAATAAGGATACAGCATGGATTAGCAATTATGATGCAATTGGGATATGAATTAAGGGCAATCTCAGTTCAAGTCCTGGATCTGCTCCTTATGAGCTGTGTGAGCTGAAATGTTCTTGATTGCACATTGGGAAAAGCACTGTTTACAAGTGATAGGGTCATTTTGAGGACTAAGGTAGTAATGCACTTAGGAGGCATTCTAGTCAATGCTGGGGAAGAACTATTCTGGCTCAACCACTTATTGGGTATGGGAACTCATGCAAATTTACCAGTCAGAAGAGGCTAGACCATGCTGCTGTAACAACAGTCAGAAAATATCAATGGCTTCCCTCGCAGCAGAGAAAAAGTGCTTGCTCACCCACATGGCCATTGTGGATTCGCTGAAGCTTGGCTTCTCTGCCCTACTCTTTGGTCCAAGGCAGCTGCCATCTGGAAAACTGCCAGTCTGTGTGGCAGATGGAAAAGAGAAATGGCAAACCAGGAGCTGGAAGACATGTATCACCTCTGTCTGCTTTTCACTGGTCAGCACAAATCATGCAGCCACTCCTGAGTTCAACAGCGCAGCGGCGGAAAATCCTGCTACCCGGAGGGCAAAATGCAGGGAAGAAAACTGTAAGATGTTAT